TGCTTGCACCACTAGTTACGGGACATTATAGTTATCTTGTATACAGTGTGTATACAGTAAAAAGATCAACACGGCGAGAGCACGGCTCGAATAGACAAGCCGTTAACCGGGACGATTAATGCGCGACAAATAATATATATGTCAATACTCAAGTCGCTTGTGTAAACTGTACAGGCTATATACAATGTACGTGAGTACTTACACAGACTTCGAGGCAGGATGGTCAATCACGTATCCATGAATTTCACCGACATGTCCTTGTCTTCTTTCCTCCGCATGATAATCTGCCGTTGAATTCGTACGGAGTCTCCAGATTATCAAGAAGAAGCCTCTCTCGCCGTTTCGACACGAAACTCTTTTTTTTTTTTTTTTAAATGGCGCGCGCTCTTTCGATTTGTAAATAACGAATCGCGAACGTTCTACGAAAAGCAAAGAAAATGGGGATAAAGAGCAACGTGCAATCCTATATATACATTTTTATATATATATATATATATACGCGCGTATATATATATTAGGTTAGGTTAGAGCACAAAATATCAACTACACGTTACATAACACCCATACGTCTCGAGCGTCGCGAGAACACTGAGCCACCGTTCATCGTACAACTCCCCCCACTACTCTGCCTCACTCTGTCGAGTCCCATACGCGTATAAACATGCGGCCCTCGGTGGAAAGACCACTTTGCAGTTTTCCTCGATTCTCCCTAGATGGCCGACACTGCTTTCGATCGCCTCGATCCTGTCGATCTTTTTCTCCTGTTCGAGGCACGATTTTCTCCCTCTCTCTGTCTCTTTTTCTCTATCCTTCCCTCTCCCTCTCCCTGTTTTCCCTTCTTCTCTTTTCCTCCACTCCCCTTCCTATTTTCCCCTATTCTTTTCCTTTCTTTCTTTTTTTTTTTTTTTTTTTTATACTACGTACTTCGCTATTCGTTCTTAGCTTTGTTCTGGTTAGAAGCTGGTCTGTAAATGTTTCTTCATCTTTTTCCCTTCCCTCTCTCTCTCTCACACACACACACACACACAC